AGACCTTTATAGTCAGTCAACAGAATTTTAAGACTATTTTATTACAATATAAGGACATCACAATGACTGAAGATGCCACAGTTCTTAGCTTTACGTTTACATGCTGGCGTCGGTGCATAATTTATAGCATCAAGTATTTATGAAATCCTTTCAGAACTTCATGAAAGAAAGTCGCTTTTTCCTCGCATATCCAATAATTTCATTTTTATCAAGAGTTAATTGAATGTACGTCATCTTTCAAATAGCCCAAATTCGTCAGACAATTTGTTGTGTAATTTACACGGAAATGTTTTTCGGAGCTAAATTGAATTAACTTGATAAATTAAATTGCGATGTTATGTCGGAACAAGTCCAAATATTTGCGAAGCAATCGAATTTCATAACGAATCGAATGCCGGCCGTTTTTATAATCGAATAGTTGATTCGGAATTAGTTTTGACGATTGAATTGGAATGCTGCCCTAATGTTTTAATTGTAGAGTTTAAAGGGCGTTATTTACATTTTTATGGAGTCATTCTAAAACCGCAAAAAACACAGATACATTACAAGAATACAGACTTATTATTATTTAAATAAAGAACGAAACTTACAAAATAAAATAAGTTTTGAAGATTCCACGCAAGCACGTAACTGATGGGCAAAGTTGGAATTAGTTCGTACTCTCCCTCTATTGACAGTGAATGTAATTTCAGCAAATAGGCCAGTTACATGGTTGTTACTTCTTGTTTTATTAAAAAAAGATCTTCTTAATTCAAACATTCATTTTTCGAACGTCATCTATTTACTTTGACTATGAAAATGAGAAATGGAGCATGTACTCGTATAAACCACTTCAGAGACTTAAACAATAAACAAATAACTGAATTTGGTCTTCTTTTTGTTACACATTAGTGTTGTTTCTTCAAGATAAACATTACTTCAAGCAAATGAAAGTACCCTTACAACACTTTGCCCCAAATAAATTGTCAGCGAGCCGGCTCTATTTATTTTTAACCCCAAGTGTACACTTACGGCCGATGTAACGTAATAATTTGGACCCATTGTCTCCAAGCGCAGTGATCTCAGAACAAATTCACTCGCAGAAATGGGTAAATCGAATTGGGGCAAAGTCGTGTCGTCGCATCCTCAAACTCGATTATCGTGTCGAGTCGCGTGTCTGTGGCGTTCCCGAGGGTCGAGAAAAGATTGCGAATCGTTGCATCTTAAATCTACTGAAACTATTTTTCTTAGAAAGGATATTCTCTTAGGAAAAGGAGATTGGTTGGGTAAGAGTGATCCGTGCAAATAGACACTGGCGATCTTGCAAATAAATTAGGGTCACTAGATGCCGTATTTTCTATGTCCGTTTTGTACGTAGACTTGTGTTGCATAAAAAAATAAATTTTCATTGAAAAAATCATAGGAAGTATCATTTACCGTTAGTAGACTCGTATTATTTTTATGTTACGATATTATTAACTGTGCTTTCGGACGTTGAAAATTAATTGGGAGCATTTATCTGTTGACTCTCAAATCTCCATCAAAAAAATATTAAAGCATTCGATTCATGCTCCAAAATACTGACACGAATGATATTATTTTAGTCTGGCAATCAAAATTAAAAGGATAATCCTATCCCTAGAAATGAGCGTGGAATTGAATCGACGCGGAGTTCGTGTTGTTGCATCTGCAAACTCAATTATACGTGCGCCACTCTCGTTCGGCAGGCGTCGCATCTCTGTGGCGGATCGGGTTAAACCATCAGCAAAGATTAGGCAGATACGACCTTTTGTATAATTTCTAGTGGCGCTTGACTGGTTATGTCAATTGAGCAGAATGGCTTGACAAAGTTACAAACGTGACCGTTATAATACAGATATCGTTCGCTCTTGCGTTTTCTTATAGCGCGCAGGTAGGTACACTATGTGGGAAATTGATCTGCCTCGATCAATTTCGCGTATAGTGTAACTGTGCCATTATTTTATTACTCGCACGATGAATTATATTAAGACCAATAACCAAAATAAAGCTAGAGCACATTTTATTTTGATCAGACATCATCATCATTTCATTCACAAGGTGTCAACTGCTATGTTCAGGTGTATAGGCCTCCCCAATGATCCATATCGCCCGGTTGATTTGATCAGTAAAACCTGAGACAGCTCTTTCTAGTTCCATACAAATAAGAACTTCGCGTCGACTGGGCGATCGAAAACGATTTCCACGCGTTCCTACAACGTGACGTAGCGATTTTCAAAATGAAGCCGTAACCTTCCCTGAATACATTGCATGACATTTGACATCGGGAGTGACACAGATAAATCTCAACGTTCAATAAGACCGGACCGGAGTCAAGAGCGCATTACTCTTTGAGAGGGCAGATTGGCTCGGGCAGGTGGGGTTGCGGGACAAACTTGCTTTTGTAAGACGAAGAATTTTCTCAAATTATTAAGATTTCTGTTATGAAACTGTAGATTTTATTTTTATTTTCTTGCGTTGCCAGTGTCCTAGGTATTGCTCAGTGCTTAGTCCTACCTCATAGAACTACGGAATTAATCATTTGCAGTGGTCCCCCAATAGTTCTAGTAGTTGTGCCACCGAAAATTAAAATACACGTGATACTACCAGTAGAGACATTAAATAGACTTCCAAGATAAAATAAATGTAATTGATTAGTTTAGATAGTTTGCCGCACTTATTTTCTATGATCATGGTGATAATAAGTATGTAACTCGATCATCTTGCCATCAAATAATAACATGATAAAATAAATAAATAATTTTTTGAATATGATTGCTGAATATGGGTAAACATACATAAACGTAATAGGAAATACTAGTTACCTACCTACTACACCCATTATTAAACTTTTACAACTCCGGCCATACTGCGTTCTATAAGTTCTTTCTTATCTCACAAACATTTCCTCGGAATTTTAGCGCACAACCGCTGTTTCAGCAGACCGATATTCACAACCCGGCAGCTATCACAGATTGGTATCAAAGGAACAGTACTTTGCATTCCGATGAGGCACGTTAATGGTTGTTTTGCTGTCATCGCCCACGGCAATTCTAGTGAATAGTGGGGCGATGGCAGTTTGAAATTAGGACCGATTGATTGATACAGCCCTTACAATGAAAAAGTGTAAGGTATCTGTTACATACGAATTAACGTTTGTACCTATTAGGTATCTGTCCTCTATGTGTTCTGAAACCAATGATTAGATTGTAATAAAACTTTGTCAGGGTGTACTGCTGAGGCCTGAGAGGGTAGCTAGCTTAAAATATTATAAATCTGTACTTTATTTACGTGGCAACACATGCCGGTTGCAGCTGTTACTAAAAACGAAGAAAGAAAGACATAAATACCTACACATAAATGTTACCCATTCAGTACCATCTTGACAGCATAGCTGCCATGACACAGCTTTTCAGTGAGATTAATAGCTTAATTTTTAAAAATTCACCTCCTAAATCCACTTAAATCGTTACTAGTGGATATTACGTCAAACTGTAATAAATCCTTATTAGACAATCCGAGGCTTTCCACTCTGAATTGCGCCAAGATCTTCGCAAAAACTTGACGAAAGATGTTCTAAATGGGAAAATAAAACGACCGCTGCGACGGACATTTCATTTCACCTCGCTGAGTTGTAGACAATCCCCACTTGAGTACTGAATTTTACCTAATTTCTGCTTCTGAGTAGCATAAAATATTATAGGTATATCTCTATGTGACGATAAGCTCAAAACATTTTTCGTCTAAAATCGACGATACGATTTTACCGTGGTGCGCATCCTAGGCAGCCAGTGGCACAAATTAACGCTTTTTTTTTACAATTATGGCTTAGGTTCGAGCAAGCACGCTAGTGCAGCATATAAAATCTTACATAAGGTACAAATAAGTCCTTTGTTGTTATACCCACAAGGCAGAATAAGAAATAAAAAGATCAAGTTTAATTATTTCTTTGGCTATTTTGATCTTGTTCAAGATAAAGTAAATATTAAACCTCAATTTGTTAAAAGCAATAAAAACCTCATATCCCTAATACTAAAAGGTCTGTGTAAAAGCCGGGGGATTACGGAAAGTAGTACTTTTATGTACCTTCGTAGGAGCGTAATATATGTATGTGCCTTAAAACGGAATACCCTGCCTTACCCGCAGCTGTTGCCACCTGATATAGGATTTTATACGAGAAAAAGATTATGAAACTGGAAGAGTTATGCCTCCCCCTTCCAATAGGCGCCGGTATGTTACGTGAAATATTATAAAAATGGTCCTTTTGTTATTGTTTCTTGAACTTATACATTTAAACAGTAAACACTAGTTACTTTTTAAAATAAGATGACGTCACGACAAGACTAATAAAAACACATCTTATCCATAAACGGAATCAGGAGAAACTGAATACTAGCTTTTGCCCGCGGCTTCTCCCGCGTGTAATTAAGTTTGTCACAGATCGTCATAAATTATAGCCTATATGTTATTCTGGGCTATAAACAATAATACTGTAAAGTTTCATCAAAATCCGTTCAGTAGTTATTGCGTGAAAGAGGAACAAACATGTTCACATCCAGACATCAATACAAACTTTCGCATTTATAATATTAGTAGGATTCATATAATATCAGTGCCAATAGAGTCGTTTCCAATCACTTTGCAGAACTTGATCCTTGATAGCGACACTATTCACTAATGTTAAATACAGTATAGTAGCTAGATCTATCATAGATCTCTCCTTTGTAGGTTCAAAGAACAATAGAACCAGTCAGGTGTCAATTCTTACCAACAATAGATACAGATACCTTCATAACGTAAGTAATATAAGTTTAAACATAACTTGAAATATACAAAATTTCCGCAGGAAAACATTGTATCATAGTATTCCTGAAAGTATGTTGTATCATTTGCTGGTAAAATTCTATTCCTGAAATCTGACTATCCGAATAGTTGGGAAGACTTCAAACAATTTCAGTCAGGCTCATTCTCAACGCTATGAATTTAGTATAAAATGTACTCACGAGTGCAATGCCTTGGCTCGTCGGAGGAGTCCCCACAGTCGTTGGTCCCATCGCAAAATCTATTAATCGGTATGCATTTTTTATTCGCACACAGGTATTCCGATATGCGACATCTAGTGTCGTTCCCGTGCAAAACCGGTAAAAGTTCCGGTTCTGGGATTTCGTTCTGGCTGTCCTTGCGGTAGATCGATCTGGGGGTCTCGGTCACAATGTCACAGTCGGTCAGGTCGAGGAGTGTGATGATGACGCCGAGCAGAACGTTGCCGAAACCTGTAACAATGAAAAAGACGTTTGCTTGTGATTACTCGTACTTTATCAACGTACGGAGTGTAGCATCACTATCATCTACAGTAGCTAGTGTTTCTTAACCTGTGGTCCGCGCCCCTGGAGGTCCGCAGCCTTATCTATGGACCATTTTAACAATCATAAATAAACGCCACCAAAAAGCTCGTAATCTAAATTTATTGCTGAGTCTTTATTAAGGGAGTCCTTAAAATTGTGCTTAATTTCCTAAGGGGTCTGTGGACAAAAAGGTGAAGATACACTGATCTACAGTACCTACTCGTATTCTTGTACAATCAAGAGAGAGAGTTTCTCTACAAGATGTTCATATATTTGTCTTTTAATCGCAATGATAAAGGGCACACAATTTTACAAAGCAAGAAAAATTATAGAGATTAGAGAAATAAATGAAATGGAGTAATTGAGTGTAGCAGACCTCGTCCCTTTGTACCTACGTGAACTCAAAGTTGACACAAAGACACATAATTACATAAAAGACACAACTAAGCACCGTGGCTTGGCTATTTATCTGTGGTTTATGTACTCAGCATAAACCATCACTCGGCATATATCTTCCTGAGATCGTGATGATATTAATAAACTTTTCACTTTTAGCATCCATTGTTCGCCTTTTTCAAGTCGCCTTTTTCGAGTCGCCTTTTATTTGCACAAGAAGCAATAAAGGCAACTGCAAACATCTGAGGTGGTCGTTACGTTGATTAGATACAGGCAAACAAGCCGATCGTGTTTGGTTTTAATTTCGTTTTGTTTAGGGACGCTGTTTGATTATTGTGTGTGCGCAGTGCTAGATGTTTTTGCTGGGTGCAGCACTAGAAAATTAACCGAAAATTAGGTAGGTGTTTATGTAAAATAATTAGGTCAAGGGACAGGCAAAGTTGGGATAATTTTTGCAATGGCTATGAAAAACAAAGGCAAATTGTTTCACTGCTATCTACAGATTTTTTATTCCTTAAAAATCAAATCAAAAAGTCATTTCCCATAATAATAACAACAACAACTATCACAATGACACATGGAATAGTAAAAAACAATGTTACCTTTCCATAAAATCAACGCAGTAACTAACTCATTGCTTTTATAGTCCATTAACAACGTACGCGTTATATCGTATTTTTAACCACCCTGTATTTTTAAGAACATTTCGAGTGCTCCCAAATTCGAGAGCCAGCACCAACCCATGCACAGTGGTTTCCTGTGGATTTTTCCGCGACAAAAAGTGCTATTCAAGAGGGTTCAATACAAGGAGCTGTAACGGAGAGTCTGAAAGCGTCATTGAAACGGGAGATTGATGACAGCAGCCTCTATTCAGTTAAAAGCCGGGGAAATTAAAAGTTTCTAGGTGACAAGTGATGGTGAGGTTACGTCAGTTTTCTTTACTTTCATGACGTCACTTGAGTAGATAAGGATTCATTAGCGTGCTTTTCAAACGTAAATTTATTAGACTTTTTTATATCTATCAGCTTACGTTTTCTGAAAATATCAAGATTCAAGTGGTTCCCTATTAGGTTTTTTTTTTTGGTGGCATCTATTCATCATCATCACCATCATTATCATCTCAGCCATAGGACGTCCACGGCTGAACATAGGCCTCCCCCAATGCTTTCTAGATGCTAAATAAGACACTACAATCCAAAGTTTCATTTGCAGTTGTCGGTCCATTACTAAGAAAAGTGGGCCAAATCTCATACATAGACAAAGGCCACAATATTGTAGTCTATTCTACACTTTTTACAAAGTTTTCCATTCATCAATTGCCTAATAGCCCTTGGACTATCTTCCATTAATCTTGCGCGTGTCTGACACTTTCTATTAGGCTTCTTATTCCTATTTGTCCTTGTTGAAAGGTGCCCTTTTGTCTCGAAGTTCCAAGAAAAGGCAATAATACGAGTTTTGTCTATCCGAAAATAATGGCTTAAAAACTTGTGGGTGTACCCTTACCAATAACAGACAGGGAATTTCTACTATTCACCTATATTTATAAAGGGTTGAAACGATAAGTGATCTCATACAATTATTTCTAAACTATACAAGATATCGAAAAACTGGTTACTGATCCTGAAAGTGCTTCACGACCTCTATTAGACAGTATCAATAATAGGTTACGGAATAAACTGGATCTATCCGAACATTACTACGAAATTATTACGAATATAAGTGAACCGTCGATCTGGTGAAGGTTTTGGAAATCATTGAGGGTGGTATTTGTCTAGCAGTGGACAACATTTAATTTTGGCTGAAACGAACGAACCTAATAGACAGCACCGTATCGGGAATCTCTTCAAACATTTGATATTGGTCAAACTAGTATTCTTAAGTCCACAATTTTAGCCTCAGGAAATGAAATCTAAATATATCTCAAGCAGTATAAAATAAAAAATCACAAAAAACACAATGGTTTTGCAAACACACCATAGTACCTATGCAGAACTGACGGCAGCTAGGTTCTGGAGTGGAGGCCGCGTACTGAAAAACGCAGCATGGGACTTCCACCCACAAGGTGGACCGACGACGTCGTAAAAGGACATTCTTAAAAATAGCATTCGACGAAAAATACTTAGTTCCTGCAAGGTAATTGTATCTAACAGCTTTTCAAATGCGAAGTCTATTCACCTCACGGTGTCGTCAGATATGAGTCCAATAAGGCCTTGGTAGACCCTCGTCAAGTCGATTCCTGATAAGTCGCCCGATCGCTCGCTGTCCGGGGGGAAATCTATTCACGTGGGGACAGCTGCTTATCAAAATAATAAAGGGCCCTATTTTGACAAACAACTGAAGTATATTAAATTCTGGGTAATTGACGTGGGATATGCCTAAGCCATAACTACTCCGGAGCCAAAAGTCAAATTCTGTGTGTATTTTATAATATTTTGGGTAATAGATACCATGTTAGGCACATAGTCAAAAGACATCTATCATATTCATCATCAATCTTACAAAAATAAATATAGTACTAATAGTCGATGCTGAAATGTCGGGGCAAGCACGATTTTGACCTTCTAAAGGTTTTCTGGAGGAAAATAGGTAAAGCTGATCACGGGGCAGTTTAGTTGTGTAAATAAAAGTTTAGTCTAATCTAACTACATTTCAAGTGTCGGAAGATACCTATCTTGTACGAAATCCGTGCCATACCCATAAAGTTACATCCCTAGATAAAAAAGAATTCGAAATCCCAATGATTTTAACTGAAGTGAAGCGGTTGCGCATCAAAGGCCCACAAACAGATCAATCGAACTCAAGTGTTGGTACACTCGACGGCTGAGCATTGCAGCACACCGGTCGAGTTCGAGCAAAAAGTGGAGCCACAATTATCGCCTTCAGCTCAGTGTGTGAGTTAAATACTATAAGTGTGTGAGGGAGTTAGATAAGTTGGAAAAGATGGGAAAATAGAAAAACCAAGTAATAGTCGCTGTAGCTTAAAATTAATTATACTAGCAGCCGTTTAATGCTCGTAGAGGGTGAATTTTGGATAATCCTTGCTTAGAAACAGATCAATCGAATTGAAGTGTTGGTACACTCGACGACTGAGTATTGCAGCACACTAGTCCAGAAGACCCTCACTCATGCTAACATCTCAGTATGTGAGAGAATTAAGTGGAATCCATTTTGTGAAGTTTTAAAATTAAGAAAGACCAAACCATTAATTGAAACAGCTTAAACAGGATGCTTGAAGTTAATATAGGTACGAGTATGTTTCTAAATTACCCCCTTTCTAATAAAAAGTTACACAGTTGTTGAACACTGTTTTAAAATGTCATTTCCATACTAAACGTCACTTTAAAACACTGTTCAACGAGCCTGTAAGTTTTATTAGGGGGTTAGAATTTAATGATACGTCTAAAGGCTGGGTTACTTTAACTTTAGCAAACGTTGCAAAAGTTTAACAAACTTCATAAAAACACTGGTTATGGTTATAATTACGGTTAAAGTAAGGCAAAGCAACTCAGTCTTAAAGTTTCTCATTGCACCAGATTAAGCGTACGTGGCAAAAACTTCTTAGTTTGTGGCTTCCTTTACTCAAGATTGTTCATCAAGTGCTAGAGGAGAGTTAAAACATTTGTGAACTTTACTCAAAGACTTCTGTTTAGTTTACAAGATTTAGAGAGTGAGCCAGTTACACAAACAGGTGTACTATGAGGGAAGGTTTTAGTTGTTGTAAGCGCTTGATAAATGTAAAACCAATATTTTTTATTAATTTCTTGCGCTGTTTCCACGTGATTTGATTTATTCTATTGAGTAGTCAGTGCACTTTGTGTACTAAGGCTGAGATGCACCACCTAAATTTAACCGTAACTATACCAATAACCGGAGTTTGTTCCGGCGTTTCTTCTCAGCACTTGCCATATGTTTGTCTCGAAGCGCTGGTAGGGCCCAAAAGATAAGTAGACATGTAAAGTGCCGGACGTGCCCCATAAGGGCTACCTTTTTTTTAATTACTATATTTTGACGTTCATAAAAATTTCTTGGCAAAATGTTACTTGGTTTCTCGCGATACAGGTGCATACCTAGTGCGAGAACCGCTACCAACACTTCTTCACAATCCACCATAGCATGTAATTAGCTTAAGACTGTCATTCCGTTTTTTGTAAATCTGTCTTGCTTAAATAAAGATTTTTTATTTATTATTATTATCATAAGTGCCACTTGTGGTCTAAATTGAATAAATATTTTTGATTTTTGATTGAAGTTTGACAGATTTTTGACGTTTGTTAAAGTTAAAGTAAGATGGTGCAACTCAGCCTTAATATTTGGAAGATTTTTATTTAATTGAACAAAATGACCCCTGAACAGGGTGAATTTATACACAGATCAATCGAATTGAAGTATTTGTGGTACACAGCTCGACTCTACACTACGCGGTGCGATCGAGTGCATTCGCAAACACAAGCCGGCCATGCTTTGTATAATTATCTGACTAGCTTTTGCCGGCCACTTCTTTCGCGTAGACTTACTTATTTGAGCCTGTATGA